CCAATTCGTAACCACTACGAATGGGTGGTTATTGCTTCATGGAGACAGAATTTCTGTTTCGGATGATGCGAATGTTTTAGGAACAGACAGTGACGATGGCTACAGGGCATTGTAAATGTACTTAATGCTACTGAACTGTATATTGGAAAATGGTTAAAATGGGGAGTTTTATGTTTTATGTATTTTACTACACACACACATAGACAAAACAACAGAGTAAAAAAAAAAAAAAAAAAGTTTTTTGCTTTTTTACTCTACCTAGCACCCAATAAGGGGTCCTAGTGTGGTGCTGAAGGGTTAGCACTGAACTATTAATCACAAGATGAGTTATTCAAACCCACCAGCCGCTCCTGAGAAACCCTCTCCAGGGTCACTATGAGTCAGATCTGATTTAACAGCACTAAACAACAACAACATGAGTTGCCACTTAACAATGACAACACCAGAACATCCAGTAAAAGGTTGTCAGGTGTGCAGAGAAACAAGAGACTATATCCCATAATAAGGAGGAATATCAACGAAAAGAAGCAAACTCAGAAAAAAAGACAGATTATCGAATGAATAGACAAGGATCTGAAAATATCAATTTACTTAGTCTCCCACCTGAACAAGAAAAAAAATAATAATTCTAGTTTGTTTGGAAATACTGAATCCAGCCTTTACCCCCGTGGTACCACCATCAGACAGGGCTGGGGAATTGTAGGATTATTTCCCCCCCCACAGTCTCCACCCGCCCCTATTGTCCCAATTGTTAACTGCCTTTATTTTATTTTATTTTTTATCACCCTAGGCCCCCTCCTCCAAATGATTGGCTTTGCAGTCAGATCACCTGGGCCCCCGTAGGAGCTCTGTCCATGTTGACTTGGTCTGTCTGTCTGCCTGCCCTTCATCTGCCTCTCTAGGCTTTGGAAAGAAATATTGAGGGTCTCACATAAAGAGCTTTCTTTCTGCTAGGCACACAGGAAGTACTTGCTAAAAGGTTGCAGATGCTTATTAATGCCCAGCCAAAAGGATATGTTGTTGTTGTTGTTAAGTGCCTTCGAGTCAATTCTGACCAATGTATAGGGTTTCCGAGGAGCAGCTGGTGAGCTTGAACCGCCGACCTTGCAGTTCAAACGGCTTTGCTGTCTGGCACATTAACCCACAGCGCCACATCAGGGCTCTGAGAGGATATAGGGTAGACTTTCTAGCTCTTCTCTTCTGGCTAAAGTCCTCCTTTCCCACCCTAGTGCACTTTGCTGGGCCCTCTCCCACCTGCTGTCCCCTTCATTCAGCATCTCCTCCTTGTAGTCATGTGCTCCCTCGGCTGTGTTTGCCTGTCCTCTCCTTCATGTCCCTTGGAGGAGACTAGACTTCCAGAAGAGTGAGCTCCCTCGGTCTGCATCTCCAGTAGGGTGTGTGTTCACACACATATGTTCATGCATGATCAGCATATGCACATGTGAGAGTGTGCATGTGTAAATACACAGATGGGAATGCATATTGTCCATGCAGGTGTGTGCCCCCACGCACAGTCACAGTGAGTGTGTGTGCATGCTTAAGTCATGTGCGCATGGCTGTGTATGTGTCAGTGTATGCACATGTATGTGAACATGTGCAAATGTTTCTACCCAAGCATGAAGTGTGCCTGTCTATGTGACTGTGTGCATGTTCCTCACCTCCCCCGGGGGGCAAAGCCAGGTCCAGGTGCCCCTGCTCCTCTCGCCTAACAGGGAGACCAGGGCTCAGTGATGATGCTTGTATGTGTCCCATGTCAGCGGGAGGGCAGAGGCATGTTGCCCGCCCTCCGGCCTGGCTGTGAAGCAGAGCCTGCATGGAGGGTTCTGGGTGGTCCTCGTCTCTGGCCACAGGAGGGAGAAGGCTGAGGAAGGCCTAAAGTCTGGTGGGTTCTCCCCCGGGCTCAGGGAGGGTGCTAGGACAAGCCCCCACAGCAGGCGCCTGCTCTGGCCTGGGGAGGGCCCCCACGCCCACCCCAATGGCTGGCCTGTTTTCTTTGGAAGGGAAAGAGCATTCTTTGTACAGCACCGCTGACACACCAGATGACAAAAGTGCCCACGGGGTAAACTGGAGGCCTCCAGCGCCTGACACACCAGCGTTCCAAGTTTCACGGAAGGCTCTTGCTAATGCCAGAAACATCTGGAACCAGCTCCACAGATCGGATCCGAGCACCTCGTGTTGAAAACTTCTGGCAGCCCCCGTGTGGGGTGCGAAGGCCGTCTTGGGATGACGGTTTTGAAGGTGGCTGCTGGGGTGATGCTGGTCAGTCTTCTGAGTTCAGTGAGCCACAAGACGAGTGTCCCTCAGCCCGGGCCACACACAAGGGTCTTAAGCGTGAGCATGACAGTCCAAGCTCTCAAGTTCTTGGCAAACCCCGGAGACTTAGATTGGATGAATCTAGAAGGCCAGACCCTGACCCATTTCATTCTCCTCTCCTCCAAGGGAAAGAGTTAAAGTGTCTTATTTAAGCTGTTTGTTCATCTGCCGGTTGGGGTGGCCAACCAGGTACCATTTCAGTAGAATCCTTTCTGACTCATGGGGACCCATCTGTATCACAGCATTTCCTGAAAGTGCATCGCCAGGACTTTCTCCCGAGGTGCTTCTGGGTAGACTTGAACCACCAACTTTTTCGTTAATGGCCAAGTGCTCAATAGTTTGTATCACTCAGGGGTCCTTTAGGTGGCAAAGACACTAATGTCTTCGGGGTGGAGGTGGTGATTCTGTGGACAGCTCTCCAAGTCATGATGAGCCTGAACGTCGTCTCCCCTGCGGTAAGAGACTGTAGCCCGGGAACACTGTCTACCCTCTCCCCATTCCAGGGCCCCAGCCAGCTGAGGAGGGGGCAGACAGCTCAGGGGAGTCTGGGTGCTTCCCGGGGCGTCCTGCCAGCCCCTGGGGGTTGTGTGAATGGGCTTGGTGTGCACCAGGAAACCACCTCCCCCCAAATCTGTCACTGCACCTTTGTGCGTTGCCACAAAGGAAGAACACGATCTCCCTTCTTGTTTTACTGTTCATTGACCTTGCAAAAGCACCGCGCCCACCTCTCCCCCACACTCCCTGCTGCCCGCCCAGCCCGGCAGCCCGAATTCCTCTGCTCTGTACCAAAGGCCAAACCAAGCGGCACAGAGGAGTGCATTCTCCCAGCCGCTCTGTCTGCCCAGGGGTCTTGGCTCAGGAAAACCCAGAGGCGAACAGTTTCTAGGTCAAATGTCAGCCAATGCTGGGAAACCAGGAGCAGTAAAACTGAAAAGGAAATCCAAGGAGCCGGAAAGGGCCCGAGGGGATGAAAGTGACCGGGAGGCTAGGATGACACATTCACAGGAGGTCTTGAGATTACCATCGCTGCTGTCTGGGAACCAAGCTGCCCCTCAGCGCAGCGCATCCCGCTGACCACCTGCTGGGAGGGCTGGGAGTGGGTGGGTGGGTGGAAGTCTTAGGGAGGGGACAGCAAGGGGTGGGGGACCCCGATGAGAGCTAGGGACCTCAGGGAAGGTGGATAAGAGTGAGGGTGAGGAGGGAAGGGGCCCCAGGGAAACCATGGAGTAGTGGAGATTTTAGGGAGACCAAAAGTGAGGTTAAAGCCCCAGGGAGGACAGGGGCCAGGGACCCAGAAATGGCTGGAGGGGAGTGATTAAAGGGAGGGTGAGGGGGACTCCAGGGAGGGTGAGGGGGACAGGGGCCCCCTAGGGAGGGCAGTGGCCAGGGTGAAGAGGGGTGAGGTGAGAATGGAGGAGGTGCAGAATAAACACCCGAAGGCAGGGGGCGGGAGGGGGAGGGGAGGGCAGGAGTGGGGGCAGGGCAGAATCAACATCCAACCAAACAGATGGCCCAGGTGACTGGTGCTCCCACAAATATGGTGAATCTGGACAGGGTCCAGGCTAGGAGGACCTGATATTCTCTCAGTCCAGGGAAGAAGGTCAAGATCATGCTCATAAGGTCATGTTCCTCTGCTGCCCGAACCCACAGCTGACCTTCCAGCACAGAACACAACCCCCAGCTCTGGATGTTTGCTCTTCCCAGTCCTACCCAGGGGCTCCCAGTTCTGGGCTTCCCAGGAGCACCCTTCTGCCATACACCCCTCACTCCAGCCTTCCAGTCTTTCTTTCCTTCCTTCCATTTACCCCTCCCTCAGGCCTCCATTCCTGTATCTCTCCATCCATTCATCCACCCACACATCCACCTGCCCATCTGCACACTTGTCCCTCCGTCCAGCCAGGTATCGGAACCCCCGGTACCAGGAGCTTGAGTCCATGTGACCAGTGGGTGACAGGAGTGAGGAGGGCTTGCCTGAGAAGACACACAGCGTTGGCTAGGGAGGGTGGCAGGTGACATCAAGACTGAGGGAGCACAGAGGGAGCCTGGAATTTGGGTGTGGGTGTGAGGACACACAGCGTTGGCTAGGGAGGGTGGCAGGTGACATCAAGACTGAGGGAGCACAGAGGGAGCCTGCACGTCCACCACAGAGCCACCGTGGGTCCAGGGGGTTGGAGTGTCAAGTATAGCCAGAAGGCGTCTGTGTGGACAGGAAAGTCTCATAGGAGGGCAATGGGGAGCCAGCAAGAATTTAATCAGGAGAGGGAGACCAACAACCTGGGCAGCTGGAGCTCTGTCCACTCACCACACGACGCGGCCCTTGGGCTCAGTTTCCTTGACTCTACGGTCTGACGGCAGGCCGTCTGCACTGGGGTGACTCATGGGGCTCATCACTGTCCAAGTCAGACTGACCCGAGAGGCGGTGTCCTCCTGGCAGCTTCGTCTCCCTGTGGGGGACGGGGAGTCATCCAGAGTGAAGCAGCAGGCTGCCCAGCACTGATTCACACATGCCCTGGTCCAACGCCCCTCGCCCCCCGCCTGTGACCCGGACATGGCCCTGGGGAGAGCAGGGTGGGGCAGGGTGGAGCCCCTGGTCTCCCCCTAGTGGGACCCCACATCCCAAGGCTCACAGGATAGGATTCTGCCACTGCGTGGAACCGGGGGCGCTAAACTGTACTAAACCGGGAACCTCCTCCAGCTGCAACTGCTGACCTGAGGGACCCGAGAGCCCCTGAGTACCCCTGAACACCCCTGAGCACTCCATAGGGCCCCAAGCACCCTGGGAACCCCCTAATACCTCATGAGTGTCCCCAAGTACTCTTAAAAACCCTGAAGCTCCCAAGTACCTCTGAGAACTCTCTGAGAGCCCTCAAGCATCCCCGTAATTCCCACAAGTCCCCTCTGAGAACTTCCAAGAGCCCCTGAGCACCCCCAGTGCCTCTGGGAGGTCCTAGGAGCTGCCTGAGAACTCCCCCAAACATTTGAAAGCCCCCAATTACCTCCAGGTGTCCCTAAGAGTCACCAAGCACCCTGTTTGCATCTGAGTACCTCCATAACCCCCAAGAACCCCTAAGAATTCCTGAGCACCCTTGGTGGTGGTGGTTAAGTGCCGTGGAGTTGGAACTGACTCATAGTGACCCTGTACAGGGTTTCTAAGACTGTAAATCTTTACAGGAGCAGAAAGCTTCATCTTTCTGCCCTGGAACAGCTGGTAGTTTCGAACTGCTGACCTTAAGGTTTGCAGCCAAATTCATAACCACTACGCTACCAGAGCTAGAGCTCCTAATACCTGCTACGCCCCAGGAGCCCTCAATACCCCCCCACACTCGATAGTCCCCAATACCCCCGTACACCCCCTGAGGACCACTGAGCACTCCAAAGGACCCCCCGAGAGCCCCCAACACTCCCTGAATCCCCAAGACCCCCATGAGAGGCCATGCCTTTGAGAAGGTAACACTCATTTGCACACCCAGGCCTGCTGCAAGACTGCAGACTTCTCCTACTCTCTTGGAAGTTCAAGTTCACATTTCTCTGCTGGGAGAACTTACATTTCCCGAAAACGCATTTGTTAGAGGTTTTGAAGGTCCAAGATTCTAATGTCCATTCAATTCCTTCCATCACCTTTTGTGTTTCTGTAACCCAGCACTTAGGGGTGGGGTGGTTCCCACCATCTTTGGAAAGTACAGCCTGTGTTTACCACGGAAGACATTAGAGAGAGCCACGGTCGTTGGGAAATGCAGTTCCAGGGGCCCAGAGCCGGCATCTCCACAGTCTGCCCTCCCTCAGCATGGCTCAAGGTCCAAGGATGTGAGCATTTGGCCCTTAAGGACGTTGACCCGTGAAAGGGGTGACCTCATATTTACATCATGGGAGTCCTGATGCGGCACTGGAGGATAAGCATTAGACTGATAATTGCAAGGCGATTCAAACTCACCAGAATGGACTCACAACAACACTTACACCACGATAAATGCAGAAAAGATTGAAGTTATCAAGGATTTCATTCTTGGACCAAAAACCAATGCCTATGGAAGCAACAGTCAAGAAATCAAATGATGAATTGCATTGGGCAAATGTGCTGCGAAAGATCTCTTTCAAGTGTTAAAGAGCAAAGATGTCACTTTGAGGACCAAGGTGTGCCTGAGCCAAGCCATAATATTTCTGATCACCTTATATATGCACCTGAAAGTTGGACAATGAATAAGGAAAACCAGAGAGGAATTGAGGTATTCAAACTGTGGTGGTCATGAGAATATTGAATATCCTATGGACCCCAGACTTGGAAGACATCCTGGAAGACGCAGTGATGAAGAGTTTGGCTGATAACCAAACGATTGGTGGTGGAAGTCCACAGCTTGCTCTGTTTGTGGCAGTATGTTTGCATAAAGATTAAACAAACAAAAAAACACCTAATTCCCCCAAACCAAAGTCACTGCTATCAAGTTAACTCTGGTTCACAGCAATAGGATAAAATAGAACTGCTCAGAAATTTCCCAAGACTGTAAACATATACGGTGGCCGACTGACGCATCTCTTTTTACGGAGTGGCTGGTGGGTTTGAACAGCCGACCTTTCAGTTAATGGCTGAGCACTTAGCCAATGCACTACCAGGGCTCCTTCCCTTAAGAACTACAGGCTTGGAAACCCTAGGGGGGCAGTTGTATTGTTTCCTACACCGCTGCCAGGAGTCAGCTTTGGCGGCAGTGGGTTTTGCCATATTGGTAGACACCTAGACTTGCTGGGCCATCTGAGTGTTACCTGCTTATGTAAAGGACTTGGTACGTACTCCCCGAATAGAACACGGTCAGTCAATGAAATCTTTTAGGTACGTTTGGGTACATGGCAATTGAAAACTTTGTCCATCCAATTGATTTCTCAACTTCTCTGGCCCCTCCTTCAGCATTTCATTCTTCTGCATGTCCATTCCTGAGCGCTCCTGGTCCTGGGGGAACAGAGGTCATTGTGGGTATTCGTGTGCATGTGGCTGTATATGTGGGTGTGAATGTGGGTGTGAACGTGGGTGTACGTGTACCTGTGGGTGTGAATGTGGATGTAGGTGTACGTGTGTGTACATGTGGATGTGGGTGTAGGTGTACCTGTGGGTGCACTTGTGGGTGTGTGAGTGAACGTGGGTGTAGGTGTACTTGTGGGTGTGAATTTGGGTGTGGGTGTGAACGTGGGTGTAGGTGTACATGTGTGTGTGCATGTGGGTGTAGGCATGAATGTGGGTGTGGATGTGGATGCAGGTGTACCTGTGGGTGTGAACGTGGGTGTAGGTGTACTTGTGGGTGTGAATTTGGGTGTGGGTGTGGATGTAGATGTACGTGTGGGTGTGGGTGTGAACGTGGATGTAGGTGTACTTGTGGGTGTGAATTTGGGTTTGGGTGTGAATGTGGATATAGATGTACCTGTGGGTGTGGGTGTGAACGTGGGTATAGGTGTACTTGTGAGTGTGAATTTGGGTGTGGGTGTGAGTGTGGCTATAGATGTACATGTGGGTGTGGGTGTGAACATGGGTGTAGGTGTTCCTGTGGGTGCACCTGTGGGTGTGGGTGTAGGTGTGAGTGATGAGGACTCGGCTTGCGTGATGTCCCTGTTCTAAGTATTCTCCCAGAAGTCTTCACTGCACCCTATCCTCCTCCAAACACACTCCCACCTACACCACTCCCTCCCTCCTATAGACACCTCCCCCCACAGTTGCACCTCTCCCCACACTCCTGTGTTACAGTCACACCCACGCCACACTCCTGCACACACCTGGACCCAGGCTTACACTCTCATGTTGTACTCAAACCCACACCTACCCCCACATGTACACCATGTCGACACCACACTCACATGTACATATAACCACACCCACATGAATACTTGCATCCTCAGTGGGAGTGGACGGTGCAGCGAGCTGCAGGTGGAGTCCCCCACATAATGACTTTGGGGACAACCGGCTGGCCCAGAAGAGGGGGAAGCAGAGGACTCTTGGAGAGCAGTGTGGAGTCGCCTCAGGCAGGTCCTGCTGAGGTCCCGGGCATGGTCACATAGAGTACCCCTTCCTTGAGAGAGGAACGTATCCCAGTCCACGGCTCACCAGCTCTCCTCCAGATGGTGTCTCATTTAAGGGCCCAAGAGCTTCCCAGTGATGAGCCAAGGACTTCCAGCATGGCCCACCCAGTCACCATGGCGGCAGGAAGCCCCTAGGCAGATGCCCTTAGCCTTGTGGGACACATGGTGCATCATCATCTCAGCCCCCTGGTTGACAGGGTTGAAGATGGTGGCCCGGGAAACTCTGTCCTATAAAAGTGACAGTCACCCTTTGGACTTCCAGTGTTCTCTCTAGCATCTATGATGGTCCTGTTAGTCTGCAAGACCAACTCCTCTGTGACTTCTGCTCCTGGTTATTCTTATCACATGACACCTTTCTCCACCTTTGATGTGGGCACTGAGGTTCACCCCCCACCCCCCGATGAGAGTTCTCAGAACAGACTGGGCATGTGCTGACCCTCCTGAGTATCACACACTCACACTCTGGACCCATGAGACCCATCAGGAGTCCTAGGATAAGGCACTGGGCCATAAGGTTAGTTTGAACCACAAGGTTGATGGTTAAAACCCACCAGCCACTCTTTGGAAACCCTATACAGGGTCTCTCATGAGAACAATTAAGTGTTCTGGAATACTCATACTTCGCAATGTTGTCTATAGCTTGTCATGATCCACACAATCTAAAGCCTTTGTGTAATCAATAAAGCATAGGTAAACATCCTTCTGGTATTCTCTGCTTTCAGCCAAGATCCATCTGACGTCAGCAATGATATCCCTCATTCACTGTCCTCTTCTGAATCT